AAAAAAAAAAAAAAAAGAAAGAAAAGAAAAAAAGCTACATTTTAAAATACCTTAAAGCTCCTCTGATGTAACAGAACTAGGGACTGATATTTAAAAACCACCGTACCAAAGAAAGCCAGACCTATGAGCTGGAGCAAGAGTATTACTCTTTTCCCTTCACCTCTCTACCACATCCTCTGTCTATACCTGCAGACCATGTTAAAAATATGTTAATAAAAGCGTGCAATGAATGCCATCAATTAAGTGATCATTCTTGACTTTGTAGAGAGTAATTTACACAGTGACACCAAGCAAGTAGATGGCAGAGCAAGGATTAAAGGCCAAATTAAATTATCAATGCTGTAAGGTAGAATAGTTGGAAACCTTCCTTAGACTTTGGTTCAGACTCTAATGCTGGTTCTCTAAAGCATAATATCTAATAAATAAAATGTCTAGTTACGTAAACACATGAGCACATAAACTGAAATAAATATTTTGTACTTGCTATTCAGACTTCTGTAATAATCACAAGCTCTAGGGAACTATGCATTGGCTATTTGCGTATTACAGACAGGGTAGGGGAAAACAATGTATTTTTATCATCACGAAAATGAATGCACACAAAAAGCTTTGAAAATAATTTCTGGGGTTGGCAGGTGATATGAAAATTAAGGCACCAGATCCCACATGGCCAACTCTATGGTCAGAATCCCAAACCCATGGCTTAAAAATCATGCGAGGCACATGTGTGTGAGCCTAAAATTCCAAGAGTAGAAGGGAGAAGAATGGACTGCAGAGTGGCCATCCTTCCTGGGGTGATTTCTCACTTTCTTTCTCTCTGTGGTGAGAAGATGCACCCTATAGCAATAAAACTAATATTATTATATTAGTTAATAATAATAATAATAATAATAATAATAATGATTTCTGACTCATCATTTTTCAAAATCATCTCTCTACATCTAGCTCTATTTCAGTATAATATTTCAGTAAATTTTACATACTTTTTGCTTTTACTATTATATACAGGGCCAGCCAGTGGCGTAGTAAATAATCACACATGACTGACTGTGTAATTCTAGTCCCAGACCCGGCAGCTTGAAAAACACACTGGGCATGTGTGTGCACACACAAAATTCTGAGAAGAAGGAAAGATGGAGAAGGGATCATGGCGTGATCATCCTCCACGGGGGGGAGGGGGAT